CCCTAATAGCTCCTGAGGCGGATGCAAAAAAGATCTGGACATCGGGCTGGTAGTCGGTCCAGGCAACTCTCTTTAAATAGTTTCTCATCTGTTTGGAGCTCGCCGCTATAAGCTTGCAACCCTCGGAGTAGTTCGTTCGGTTTTCGATCGCCCAAGAATTCCTCAGGAATCAGTTGAAAGTATCTCTGACGATCAGACATGGTATGAAAACGCAGAAGTGCCGCCTTTAGCTCGGTGAAGGGTGCATCGCCAGGTGGAGTCTTTACGACCGATTGCACCCGGGATAAGACCTTAAGTGGTAGGGCCTGGATGCGTCGCTGTAATGTTGTGCGTTACTTTATAATATTTACAGAGAAAACTCTCGACTCGAAGTGAAGGAAGTGTTGTTCAGATGCATTAGACCAGTAGTCCGGCAGCAAGATAGAATGCGGCCACTGATTCATCACTCTTAATTCTGACGTGGAAAGTGTGCGCGGGCAAAAGGAAATGCGGCAGATTGGCTGGATTGGAGACGCCTGAAAGACGCGTTACAAATGGCGGAGAGTGTCTGTTTTCAAAGTCATTACTGTAGCGAGTGAAAAGAAATCGATGATGCGATCCCACGCTGAGAACACCTCAAGACAGACACCCTCGATATGACGAAACTAACTCCCCACACAACAATAGGAGCAAGGTGTCCACTATTGACACATAATGCAAACAAGTGGAAGTCTAGCGCGTAGCAGTTTGCTTACTATCTTGAACCAAAGGCAATAAATGCAAGTTACAGAAATGCGTACCAAGTAAAATCAGTCTAGAAGCATGCGTACAAATAAAAGTACGACAAAAGTGTGAATAAATAAAGTATGGCAAAAGGCTATCACAATATGTTCCTTATGAGAAAATGAAGACGGTGGAAGCCCACTTCGGAGTGGGAGAATATGTAGGAGGACATTGACACTCGGACTCGAATGCGTCCGATCTTGAGGCTGATACGGGAAGCGTGTCAACGCGGGGTCGACACAAACGCCAACAGCGCTGCTAAGTCATTAGAGCACTAGAATCTTAATCTCCGTGTCACCATAATCGCAGGGGCTAAGTGTAATAGATAAAACCCTTGACACCACGCTCTTTAGGTCCGGTTTCTTAGGAGAAGAAAAGGGATAGAGATAAGGCTAAAGGCAGCTGACATGGACAGGCCTGCGTCCGCTCCCTAGCGGAGCGGAATCCCGTGTGAGGACAGCGCTATAATTGTCAAAAGCACCCAGAATGGCCTTTTTGTAAGTTAGCCTCAGGACGATGGTTGGCCAAACCAGTCAGACCAGACTGGGTTAGATTGATATCGGGGCGCAAATGCACAGTGATGACCGAGGTCAAAGGTTGAGCATTGGCGTGTGGGCGCCAGTATGAAGGAAGAAGGGCTACAACCACTGCACTCCTAATGGGTTATAATGCAATCCTATAGTCAAATTTTACTATAAGAGCAACTCCTATCAACATTAGGCGGCCTCACTAGTCATTTCTGCCCGTGCAACTGAGTGCCGAAGAAAATTAACAGTGCACCTGCAGCATAGAAGGGACCGAAATGCGTCTGGAGGGAATAAGAGCAAACGAAAAGTAGGATAAAGCCGATTTTTGTGTTATCCCAGGGCAGCCGGCTTCCGACTCATCCTCGTGAAAACCTTCTTTATGAAAAGACTACTCTCAAAGCCTTAAGAAGAACACGCCGTATTAGTCTTCAGAATTGTTGTGATTTTCGTTGTTCTGTGCTCACAAAAAATTCTCCTGACGTGGGCTATACGCATCGACACTATGAGCAGTGGGGATGCCTATGCCATTTGTGGTTAGCAGATAGTACCAAATCACGCAAAGGACGGAATTTGACGGTACTGACTGGCTGATGTAAGCGAGCCAGTTAAGGAAGGAATAGAAACTGAAAACAGACCTTTTGGTCTTGGAAACGTAGACTGACAGTATTTTTAAGCACAAAATTAAAGGAAGGCAATGAAAATTTTCATGCAGAGCGAAGATCAACAGCTGAATTGGAGTCGAAACATATTAGTATATGCAAGGCATAAGTGGATGCTGAAGTCGTGTAATCGGGTGCGCCTGCAGCCTACAAGTACAAAGCGAGACATGATAGGAACATCGGAATGAAGAAACCCGTACAAAGCATCATCAACGACGAAAACACGTAGAGAACGTTTGCTTTAACTTCAAAGATTAAGAAGCCGGGTTTTGACCGTAAATAAATAAATAAATAAATA